CCCTAACTAAAACCCAACTTAACACCTAAGCCTAACAGCCCAAACTTATCCTAAACCTAATTGGGGTGGCAGAGCCCCCCCAAACCCCCCTCCTAACTTCTCACTCTGTTCATGACAAGGGCCACAGTATGCTAGAATTACATAAGTGGTTAGTCAGGGTCATCCCTAATTGGGCTGTAGGATTCAGGGCCTGAATATAAAAAGTTAAGAGTCAGGCAACAATCAGTCACTAGGTCAGGTGTAGTTACATTTAGTGATTGTTACCAAAATACATAATTATGGATTGACAGCATTTGACTGTGTGAGCTGTAGGACTTTTAAAGGTTTACTCATCTTCTACTTACTTCTCCTACAATATTGAGTAGAGTGCTTAGTGTTAGTCTTACTCTAGGCTTTGACAGACTTAGATATTGTCCCAAACTCAAGTTCTGGCAAACTACTCCATATTTTATTCTATTAAAAGATCATATAGTCATCTGAATGTTCTATTAGACAGATGGTCCCTAGATCTTTAATACAATAAAGTAAAACTCTTATCTGAAGGTGTAGTACTGACTCAATCCTGTACTATAGATTCAGAATTGTCTTAGTACTTGATTGTCCTGCTAGTATAGAGTAGTACTTAGGACTAGTTATACTACAGTACCTGGACTCTCTTAACTTTGTATTTCTTAATGTGGGCAGAACCAGACTTACTGTTTGACCTGATCAACTGTACTGGTTTCAGAATCAAGGACTCTGTATTGGTCCAGGTATGTACAGTGTTGTACCTCTTTCCATTTTCTCTTGTGCTGAAGCTGAATCAATTGAGCAGTGTTCACATTACAGACAGGCCATAGATTGAATAACAATATGAATGACAATAGGATAGTATTATAAGATAATTAGTTCATCAATAGACAAACTACAAGACAATGACTTCATAATGTCTCAGTTAGAATACATACAATATAAGGATGAGAGACACTGAGTAGTCAATTGTGACCTCACCCCTTGTCTATGTGTGCCCCCCTTTAAGTTCTCCCTCTTATCAGGTTATGAGCCTTGAGCTCCCTGCATACACACATCCACTGTACACTCTAAACTCTTTACTTGTATACATTCACACACATTTGTATCATGGTTCCCCCACATACAGATACATACTGTAAACCAGCTGATGTACCTAAATACTTCAGTCAAAACATTACAATGCTTAAGACCAAAGTAAACTACAAGATGTGGCACTACTACATTGTTTCTAGTGTTGCAGCTATGTGCTTCAAACACTTATTAAAGGATGAACTGTAGAACAAAGCCAAGAGGGAGATGGCTAAGGCCATTCATACATGCATAGTTAATAACATTGCTGACACAATATTGGCAAACTATATACACTTTGATATGTCTATCCCTCAGTTAATGAAAGTGCTTGAAGAACACTTTAACCCTCAGACAGTATGTAAAAAGGCTATTGACAAATCAGCACTGTTTATTTGTAGAGACCATGTAAAACATTTCAGACATACATTAGACAGACTTGAGGAAGCATATGCAACTCTGTCTGCTAACAGTGATCCACCATGCAACTCTACATACAAAGCAGTGATATTGCTTACCACTCCTGAGCAATATACACACATAGTAAATACAATAATACAATCTACTGATGCCCAGAATGAAGGCAAACCAGTCAATGAACATAAGAAAGTTGAACCAAAGCAACTAATCCTTACATTGCAGAATGCCTACAACAATTACTATACTAAACAAGCACAAGATTCTAATGATTGGACAAAGAATAATGCACACATTAATACAATGTATAAAGCTAATAAGCAGAGGAAATTCAATCTGCCAAATCCGTTCAATCTGACAAAAGCAAAATGTTTCAATTACAGAAAAACAGGACATTTCTCTAAGGAATGCTACAAACCTCCTACTAAAGCTACAAAGCTTGCACACACCAAACATCAGGCTAACATTGTGTATAAAACAAATCAAACTGTGGAAAACATAATGAACACATTTATTATTGAAAACCCAAACAAAAACAATGTTGAATTAAAGGAAGGCAACATTGAAATGAACAATAACACTTATGCTCTTATTCTGAGCAACCAGGACAAACAATTCGAACAATATGCTTCCTGGGTATGTACCAACGTATTTACAAATACAATCATAGCTAACAAGAAATCCTATACACAAATGATGGATTTACTCAATTCCAGTGCATCAATACATGCTACTCCTTATCTATTTTGATTAACAGATGTACACAACATAACTCCTACAATTGTAACTATTACAAATAGGTCAACAATGACTCTTAATTGAGCCAGATCTATGTGTATTGAAATCCTGAAGAATATACAAGAAAAAAGTGTCATAACATTACAAAACATCTATTACTATCTACAAATGACCTTTTCCCTCATAAGTCAAGTGCTACTATGTAGGGAAGGTTATTCTTTTATGTTTACAAACAATAATTGTACTATAACATTACCATGTAATGAATACATCAGACATATACGATTGAGAAATAACTTGTATATCTTGTACAATAATCATTTATTAAAAACAATGAACAAACTATCTATTTATGATATACATAAACGCCTCAGACATATAAGTTACAATTATATTAAACAATTATTAAAGACACAACCAAGTGTACTATCAACTAAAATAACAAACTATGAAGAAAAAGAATGTATTGAATGCATAAAAGCAAATATCAAATGTACACCAATACCAAAACTATGTCAATCTCCTCTTGCAAATCAATTTGGAGATCTTATTCATATCAATATCATTGGTCCTATTGAACTGTACACATATAAGAACATACACTACTTATTAACAATTGTAGACGATTCTACTTGTTGGTGCATAATGCTCAAATTACAAACAAAATCTGATGCATATACACAATATGTATGATGGACAACTAAAATATTTACACAGTACAGAGTTAAAATAAAGCTTTTACAAAGTGATAACAATACTGTATTCCTTAGTAAAGATTTCCAACAATATTTAGATTCACAAGGAACAAAACAAAGATTAATAGTACATCATACTCTACAACAGAACAGAATAGCAGAACAAACTCATAAAACTATATTTAGAGGTGTAAGAGCATATCTAACATCTACTGAATTACTGTTTATATTATGGGCTGAAGCAGCAATTCATATTACCTATATTCATAATAGAACACTGTGTGCTACTTTAAATTACAATACCCCACATTATAAACGTTACAGAACACACAGAACAATTGATAATATAT